GGGGGGGGGTTGTTTGGGTATTTTTTAAACACTTGTAGCTGGCAATACAGGCTTCATAAGTGCTGTTATTGCACACTTGCACTGCTGACAGTGATGGACAATGGAGTATAGCCTGTGGCCTAATGAATGCTTTTAGCCTATTTCCTTTCTCTCTGGACATAAGAATTCTCCTAGGGCTCACAATTGTTCTTTCTCTTCTGTATCACACTCATCTTGACATTGTAAAAATAAACCCTTACCATACTGAGCCAGATACCAATAGTCTTTCCCAGCAAACATCAGTGAAACTTTAGTGGTATTGAAGCCTGGAGATGCACGAGCAGGACTGTTGCACTATTGTACACGTGTCATTTCACGAGGAATTGGTTGGTGACACTATCCTATTGACTTCCTTTTTCCAATACTGACCTTTACTGTTGAGCTCCTTTCAAAGCCAAGCTCAGCACTATGACCTACTTTGCAGATAGGAAAACAGAGATGCAATAAAGGAGAGAAACCCGCTCACGCTCACATATCTGGTGAGTGGCAAGGAAAGTGCAAAACAGAAGGTAGTGCTGCAGACCATACTGCTATTCATTTTCCATATATATCCCTTCTCATCTGAGAGGAAGACATTTTCCAAGCACTTAAGTTTTGTCTGTAACTTTACTCATACTTCCAGTTTTAGAGGACAGCAATGTTATCATTATTCCCCGCCTCCCACAGTGTTAAGTGAGGTGCAAAGTGATGGTTTTCCTTCTGACCATCACAGGCAAATGAACTGTCAGTGCTCTCATACTCTTTCTTACTATGCCCAAAGCCAACTTCTGTTCACCTTTACATTGGTACAATGACAACAGACTGCAGTTGTCACCCCTTAGACCTTACTCTGCTCTGATACTTACCTGGAAGGAGCGTGTATGTACCAAGCTGGTGCTTTGGCTCTCCTTGTTCTATGAAGGTCTGTCCATGAAAATGAACAACATGAATGTCTTTTGGCCCACCCATATTCAGTAAATGCCATCGGACCAGTTCACCTTCATACATCCTCAAGCCTTGTAAATTGTAGGTAATCCCATTAATGGCTGGAAAAAAATATTGTTAGTAAGGAAAACTGCTCACAAAACAGGTCTCTTAAAGTGCTAGAATCTAGTTATTAAAATAAGTAACATTTTTAATGAAGTAATGCACTTGGGAAAAACACTACTTTTTCCAATTCAAAATTCAAAGTGCTACACACTTTATAGTCTATGTACATCAATTCAGAAAATCCACGGACCCCACCAGAGGATTTGAGCACAGTTTGCTTGTTCACATGGCAGCCAGGAGGACAAGGAGGTGTAAGAAATTAAATGTCAGATGGGAACATCGGGCCAAAAAGAAAGGACAGCTATGCAAAACATGTTCTGCAGGTTATATTTCCACAGCTGTATGGTCACACCTGACACCTTTGATTAATAACTGATTTTATAGACCACATTTTCAAGAGGCAGATTCCACTTCTTGACTTGCCTTTTTCAAACATGATAACTTACAGCACACAAGCATCACGTTTTCAAAGACAGAAACATAGAGTTTCGTCACTGACCATTATTTCAAAAAGAAAAAAGGGTTAACTTTGAACAGTCAGCCACTTACTTAACTCTACATGACTAAAATCTCTGTATCCAGAGAGATATATGAAGGGCTGTCCTATAGCTGCTTCAAATTACTCAGTAGAACTAGTTGATTTGTCAAATTATTACAATATTTTTAATTTTCTTGCAAAAAGTTTTCAGGGTATTAGTTAGCTTCTTACTGAAAAGAGGGGTTTGGGGCTTGCTTTTTTCTTTTCTTTTTTTTTTTTTAATATATGGGGGTAGATGTATGTGAGTGTGAGAGAGAAGTTTTCTGTTGAAAGTTTCAGTCTAATATGGCCTTTCTTCATTTTAATAACAAATTTCCAGTTGATGCTAATCTTTACATATAACACTATGACTATTATGGGTACAATGGAGAACAACAAAAACAACATTCGCATAATTAACATGTAGGATTTATGCATGCTCAAAGGCACTGTGAGTCAAAATACCTCCCCCAACACCTTTCCCACTACCCCAATAAACTGAATACTTGGCAAAATGAAATAAGTACCATAGAATTTGTGGCATTGCTGCATTTTTTGGGTCTTCTCAGTACAAGGCCTTGTAGAATGTTTGTCAAAGTACCAGCTTTTCTCTTCATCAAAGACCATAAAAAGCAAGAAGAAGTCTCGGGTTGATGTTCTGCTGCTGTTTGACTTACTAAAAGTTCCTTTTTGACAGATCAGTATTGGCCCAATCAAACCAGAGTGAATATCTTTCTCCTAGAAGGTAAAAAACTCATATTAGATGTAAAAGTGGATTTCCCAAAAGATATCAAAAACCCCATAGCATTGTATAGAAATGCATTAGGCCCTAAAAATTTAAAGCAGAGTTACCATTGCCTTGTATCTTTACTTTCCCCTGGTCAGTCTACGAAAGAGTTCCCCAATTTGAATTCTTCCACAGCTTACTTCCTCTTTTAACTGAGTATAAGAGATTAAATGTCAGATGTGAACATGAGGCCCAAAATAAAGGACAGCTATCCAAAACATGCTCTGCAGCTTACATTTCTACAGCCATACAGTAACATCATTCGGTGATATTCAAAACCCCACTGGACGTGGTCCTGGACAACCTACTCTAGCTGACCCTGCTTGAGTTGGGGGGGCTGGACAAGATGATCTCTAGTGATCCCTTCCAACATAAACATTTCTGTGATGCTGTGATCAACCCCAGCAACACTACCACTTCTGTTTTGATTTCCTTACCAGATTTAAATCAGAGTAGTAGATCCAGGACCGACAAGCTGCTCCTGACTGCACAGGTCCCGATCGCCTGTTTGCATACCACACATATATATAACTGTTATTTGGCTGAATTTCATCATCTTCCTTAAACCAAGCAGTAGATTCATCATCATAAATGCTTCCCTCAGAGGACTTTTCATAGAAGAGTCCATGAGCATGGAGGGAATATGGTCTGGATGCCAGATTCTTAAAATGAACCTTAAAAAAAAAAAAAAAATTCAGGCCTAAACCAATGCCCCCACACAATAGATTCCCATGACCTCAAACCAGGGACAAGATTTGTATAATGATTACAGGCTAAGCTGGCAGAGATAGCTTTTGACATGCAGAGTCACCCTCTTTGATGCAGGTAGTTAATTAAAAAGTAGAAAGCACGAGTCTAACTCTCTGTCTTCCACTGAGTCTAAGTTTCTAGGACTTTTACTGCTGCCCTTCACACCTGGATCTGCTTAGTTACAGCAAGCAGGGAGATGGGGAGTTTCTACCTCGTATGCTCTGCTACACAGTCATAATGAAGGGCACAAAATAGTAGCACTAGACCTCTGTATGTATCACTCTCACTGAAATCAGTGGTTCTCACTTGCCCCACAGAAGCATGAGGAGAGGGAGATTACATATTTACCTCTCCCTAGAGAATGATGCTCCCAAGCTAAAATAGCCTCTTTGTTCTATTACTCATGTTTTTAAATGTAGCTCAACGTGTTCCTGTTGCACACTACTCCTACTGAAATAAGCAGAAAGCAGTGAAATTACTCTCCCCATCTAAGTCCATCCCTGTGTGTTGGAAGACTGGATGAAGAAGGATGAGAGAAGGGAAGCTCTACAGCAATGTGCTTCCTAATGCAAATATACCACTGTATCACCAGGGATACCGTTCCTTTCCATCCTTGTTGTTTGTGTTAGAACTAACCAACCCATTTAAAGCAAATTTTTTCAGAGGAAAATACACTTTTTGGACACACACACATATATATATTAATCTTGAATACAAATTTACTAATTTATTTTAAAAAAATTAAGAAGCTCCCTTTACATATAAAAAGTAATATTTTCAGTGCAATCTGGGTTTGAAAAACTTTTTTTTTTAACGTTAAACTTAAATCTCATTTTACATTAGACTGATAAGCCAGTATTTAATGTTGGGAAACATAAGAAAGAAAAACAGAAGTGAATTTACTAGGGATAGGAGAGAAAACCAGTGCGTTTCAAAGAAACACATCACTGTGCCTGTATGTCCACACTGCAATTTCTAGCTTTGAAAACTCTTTCCCCACCATTATCTCTCAAAATTTGTGGTATTTTTAGACCCATTCTACGTCACACTAAAGGTTGCCACAAGAACCTTATCCTGCACACATATTCAAAAGTTGACCTACTAGGATAACATCGTCCACTTCAGCCCGGATAACTGGCCCCAGGATGCCAAGGTGTTCTTTATATTCGTCTTCATCCTGAAGAGTCGTAAAGGTACTGTCTGTATAGCTTTGGAAAATCACCTTATGTGTAGTGCCATCTGCACAGGTTTTGTCACTCATCATTGTACTGAAAGGAAATCCCCAATTAAAAACCCACACAGTGAATCAGAAATAACAGCTTTGATGAAATCTGAGAACTCATACAGCAGGAACATTTTAGAATATAAAGAATAAACACACAAATAAATGTCAGATGATTCTGAAAATCACGACTTGCAATTTTTAAGCAATTCTAGTTCTACAGTTGTATACGAGATCCTTCAAAGATTTGGTCAGCTATCACTGAAAAACTCCAGCTAGTCACTGAAAACCCACCTGAGCTCTATTTTCCTTTTTTACCATTAGCCTTAATAACCTGAATCAGAGTTTAGCTCAGAGTGCAGTGGGTCTGCCACCTATACCCTACTGTCTCACACATGCATCTTCTCTAGAAAGCTAACAGAAACACATTTTACATTTGATTATATCTGCATTTTGCAACACAGAGCTAGTAAGAAAAAAATAAGCTTTTAGGCACTCAAACCATTCTTCAGATCTTAAATAGAAGCACCAAAATGCTATTATTCTGATGAACCATATTATCATTCCCTATAAACCTCGCCTAATTATAAATTCTGAAAAAAACAGAAACTTAACTGAAGTCATCTAGTAGGAAGAAAGGATGTTTTTCAGCTCTTCAACACACTGAGATGGTATATGCCATGGGCTCTGTTAACTTCACTGGAACTATGCACCTCACACCAGCTGAGAATGAACCTCACTGGGGAGATCTATATAGACCTCTGAGCATAAGTATTTCTTTATTTTGCAAGTGCACAAAGAAACTGTGGTTTCTGCCATTTTTGTAAGTGCCATTTATATGGACTGAAATGAGGCAGGAGTAAACCTGGAGAATACTGAGAAAGTGGGGGGAAAAATAACAATAAAATAAAATCGAAATTCAATTTCAGAAATAATATATGTTTGGAGCTGAATTTTGTATGATGAAAATTTTCTTGCTCCCGTTTTTGCTACTTCTGATAAAAACCTGAAGTTGTGGCACTTTTGGTCTTGTTCATTTCAAGGGCCACAAAGTTCAGCTTTTTGGTGAAAAGTGACTAGGTATTCTACACTTTGTAGGGTGAGCACTGATCCTAATTTGTAGGAATCAAGATAATGAATTTTTAGTACAAAGTTTCTCTCAAGTCACATATACTCTTTGCTGTGGCATAGTGGCCGGTCTTCCCTGTCAAAATGTAAGAAAACCCATCAATGTTAGGGTTTGTGATCCAGTCACCTTCTGATTTCTCTAAACAGTAGGAACAACAATGCAGTAATTCATGCAGCTTTATTTTTACTTTAAGTATAAGGCAGTCACCAGTGTGGTTAATCACTTTGCAACTTTCATGTACTTTTCAGTACTGCAGCCTCGTGAAGTTGGAAAGTGCTATTATCCCATTTTACAAGAGAGAACTGAGACACCAGAACCACTTCTTTCTAGTGCTAGAAACCAATTTCATCCTGCCTATAAGAACATCCTGTCTATATTAGATCAGTCAGTCCATTAAATTCCTGGAAAGACTTTGTACAAGGATGCCTCTATCCTGTCTCTACTACAGGATCCAAGAACTCAAGGGGGAAGTAGACAGGTCATTCAAGTATAACAAAACTAACTGGAAGTTTCCCTCTTGACCTCTTACAGTGGGTTTTTCACCTTCTGTTTTAAAGAGTGTTTCTAGTGAGTCTACAAGACGGGGTTAAGAAAAAAATAAGGGG